TTTATCTGGAAGTGAAGATCAGTCCTTTGTCATTGAAAGTACTGTAAAGGGGTTGGACCGGTTGTTTGGCTAACATTTCTTTTGTCTTTTTTAAAATTAATTTTTCTTTTTGGAAATACATTTTTTTTTGTTTTCTTGAATTACGCCTTAGTTACTCCCACTCGAATTTGAATTGGCACGGACCTGATTTCCTGGAAGGGAATTCATTGTAGTGGAATCGGGGCGCGTTAAGGTAAAGTTTTTTATTTGAACTTAATTAATAGTTGATATTTTCATAAAGCCAACCCACTGCGCCCCGTGCCCGTTACAGGTTTTCACCTCCTCGAAGACCCCGTTCCAGTCTACAAGAAGCCTCCTCAACCATGTTCGTCGTTTATCCAAGACCGTTCCATTTTATACGCTCGACGAAGAAAACTTGCCGGAAGTGTAAGATAAGGGGGGAGGAGATTGTAACGAAAAAGTATTTTTTGTGCGTCGGCATTCAAGGATAATGCCCCAAAGGGGCGTCCTTTTCCGCCGACCTGTCCCTTAATGCCGAATTTCGACTTCGGCATTCCCGGAATCATCCAGAGTGGAGAGATATTTCTCATCGTCCCAGTCGGCATTCGCGGACAAGGCTCAATCGGCATTCGCGGACAAGTGCAAAATCGGCATACACGGAAGACAGAAAATTCCAGGAGCTTCCCCCTGGGGAGATGAAGCTTCAAATTTGCTGGAGCGATTCTGCGGAAAGTGAGGAAGAAGTATGCGAAATTTCATTCCTGTTGATTCTCTCATACGAAGAGACTGAATTTTGCCACGAGAAAGGGTTGCAGAAATGTAATAGGCGAAATTTTCTCAGGACTCCAGCTGGCTTCGGAGCCCCTCTTCTTGCCTCGAGCGAGAGAAGAAACCGGGAAAACCGAAGCCCGTCTCCTCCAATCAAGATCGATGCGCTTCATTTCTCTCCAGTAAACTCCCTGTCACCATCCCTCATGCCGAAAGGAACAACTTTATCTCTTGAAATGGATGCTGAGAGATGTGTCTCAGTCGAGCCCGCAAATGTTCGCTTTTGGAAAATCCATTTTCGCAGGTTTCGCCACAATTTCTATTTCTATTTCGGCTTTGCCCCTTCTTTTCCTGATTAATTGGGGGAAGTGGAATTCGTTACCCTATAGGCAATTTTTACTCCCAGAATCCTTGCGTTATCGTTTTTGCGGGCGTGACCCAACGTGATTCCAACTCCGCTACATAAGGATTTTATTCGGAAGAGCCTATTTCTCTTTCAAAGGACAAACTCTCCGATTCCCGTCGGGCAAAATCCCAGACGCAGAGTCGAAGCGACGAGAAAGGAATCCGGCAACCCTGCTACCTCCCCCACGCCAGTCAGCCCGCCAGCGCGTCCCCGTCCACGCCCGAGCCACGCCCCTCACGCTCCTCACGCTCCTCTCGCTCTCTCGGGTGAGTCGAAATGCGTCGTCTTTCCGATGGAAATTTTCACTCGGTAGTAGCTCAGATCGATTGACTCGTGGTGGCGACATCGTCACGGTGCATAACGTCATCTGCACCGAAATGCTCCTATCGCCATCCGACTTTCCCTTCCCTTTTTTTTCTTTTTTTTTTCTTTTCGTTCCTTCCATTCCTTAGCTCTTTGCCCTTGACCTTCCGCGGATCCACTTTTTTTCTTCTCAGAACGGGAGAGACCTTTTAATTTTTGCTTTAATATATTTCAACTCGAATCCTCTCTGGCTCGTGCCGATTGCTCTCTCTCCGTCATTTCCTCTGCAATCGCTCTTTTTTGCCGTTATTGCGGACGGGGGATTTAATGAAGAACTGCTTTGAAATTCAAATGTCGCTTTCTCATCTTTTCCTGCTTGCAGAAGCGTGCTGGATCCACTTTTTTCGGCTTGAAATGGGTCATGGCCGCGATGACGTCATCGATACGTTACGGAAGGGCGAGTAGAAATCCTTAAATTTAATCTTTTGCTTCCCAAGGTACTGTTTCATTGCGCTATTCGAAACGCAAAAAAAAAACGAAGGAAGCGAATTGGTGCGAAGAGAGACGATCGTCCCGAGGCGAGCTTGGAATTCCGTTGCCAAAATCTCGCCGCAAAAAAAATTTTTTTCCTGATTCCCGCCAATTTTCTTTCGATTTCTAGCTCAAATTTATCCAATTTGGCACGTGATGAGAAAAATAAACTAATGCGTTTCGTGCAAGAATGCATAGAAGATCTCCGCCGTGACGTGGCATTTCCTACTGCTAAGCTCCCAAAAAAAAAACGAGAAACTTTATTTTCTGATATATACATTTCCACAGTGAAATCTACTCATCGATGAAACTCGTACGATTTCGATGCATCAAAAGAATAGTTGAGCCGTTCTTGCATTGACTGCTGCTGTCTTCCCATGATTCCTTTATTTTATTTTATTTTATTTATTGCTTAAAAATAATTTTTTTTTTTGCAGATTCCAGGAAAGGGAAAGTTGTCTCGACCTCCATCCCGGTCCCGGCCCCAGGTGGGCCGCTTGCCGCAATGTGGATCGGCGCAGTGGGCCATCTCCTCCTTTTTTCCCCTCGTGGTTTCTCCTTCACGCTTCGTCTGGAATAAAATGGACTCGGTTGGAATTCTGCTCGATTCACTTGTCGCCGGTCGCCTCCAGAGAGCAACCCCACCCGGAGAGTGAACCAAAACCCGCCGCAAGAGCGGAGGAATCTCCTGCAGCACGAGATACAAAAGTGCGACAATGAAAAAAGTCTTTCACTTCATGGCAACCAGAAATCCCAGGCACTGAATCCCGTGCCACCCCCCCCCCCCCCCCCCCCCCCCCCCCCCCCGGCCCCGTCTGTGAATGGATCCTTCCGCTTTTCCCTCCGAACAATGAAATCCCTGTAGAAGCGACCGAGGACCATCGAGGTAATGGACTGGTAATGGTAAAATTGGTCATGCGTCCATCAGCAGCACTCGTGAGACGTGATTTCCATCAAGAGAGCGTCAACTCTTTCGTTCAAGATTTTTTTTGCACTTTTGTCACGAATGTACGAAGAAAAAATGCATGAAACTCTCGAACTTTTTTTAGGACTCAAAATTGAATCGATGGAGTCCAGTGCGATTCCCAGAGCATTTCTTGCACAAAATGAGGATTTTCCACCTTCAATCCATTCCATTTCCATTTTCCCTCTTTTTTTTTTTTTCCTTCCGGATTCGCAATAAAAGGCTCCTGCCATTTTCGAATTGCTTCATCATTTTCCTTCGCTCTCTCTCGGCAAGAGACCGATCGGCAGAGTATGTCTTTGCAAGATTGCGTCTGCAGCACCGAAAATGATGATCGACCGAATGAAAACGAAATGCTCAAATGTTAAATTGAGCAATTTCCAAAGAGGCCAGAATCACGATGCATACTGGGATTCCGATGTCCCAATAGAGTCAAGCCGAGACGAGGACAAGAGCAAGGAGAAGAAAAAAAAAATTCTGAGAAGGGTTTCGAACCCGAGTATCACGCCCGCGAGGCGAAAGCTTTACCCGTCGGCTATGGGCAGAACGGATCCGACCCCGCCGAGAATGTGGGCTTTTAAATTTCACGGGGAGGATGGACGAGTCCATTCCATTTCGAGGGGGAGGACGGGGTTCCGGGGTCCCAAGGTCAAATGAAGGTGAACGGGGCCCGATCCGTGACGTCGCAGGGGTTCCGGTAAAAGAGCGAAAATCACCACGCTGGCTGCTTTTCCCGAACCCGGAAAAAAGTGGCAGTTCAAGGTCAGATTCGGTGACGTCATCCCCATGCCGACCTCCCCTTCGCCCCTTCCCCTCATGGACTCTCCCATCACCCGACCACCCCCCACGCCCGCCAGGATCAGAGAATGGACTCGTCCCCCCCCCGGCGTGCCCTCTCAGTAGCAGACGACGTCGGGATTCCTGTCCTCCATTTTCTTTTCAATGGTCTTTTTTTGTGTTCTGCTGAGGTCAATCAATTCGTTCGTTCGTGATCAAGAACTTCTTTTAGTAATTGCAAAAGTTCATTGAAATGCGGGTATCTTGTTGCAAAATTACGTTGCATTCCTCTTCCATTATCGTCGAATGGCATTTGAACATTGTTGATTCCTCCGCTTCTTCCTCTGCTTTTTGCAGGAAATTTCAACCGTTTCGTCTTCTCTGCCGCCTTGGAGACGATCGCGTTGCTGGATTCTTCGCCTTCGACCGGCTCGACGTCGTTATCGTTTCGTGGGGAAATTGCACTCGGAGACAAAGTGTGTGAAGGGAATAAAAATCTCGTTTTATTTTCCAAACGGTACGTGCAACGAAGGTGTGGAATAGTGATAAAGTCGGCGTTGGGCCAGGGGCACCGACCGATTCCGAATCGTTTCCGAGAGTAACTATCAAAGACAGGAAAATTCTTGCAGAAAGGCATCTGAAAAAAAAAACTGTTCTGGTAGCTTTTACATCGCAAGAGACAAGAGCACCCTTCAGACTTCGTCCTTACATGCATTATATGAAGAATTTCAGTCCCTGATTGGTAAACCCAGCGATACAACAACCACCAGGTAAAGGACAAAAACAATTCCGCTCGAGTCAAGTATCATCATCAGCCAGAAACATTTCCTTTCTGCGGTTACATCATACCAAGTTTCGAACATTCACCACCTTTTACTCTCGTATAAAGGCGTGTACAGACCGGTCCTAGAAATCTTGGACCTCACAGCAAGCAACGAAGTATTCAATTACATCGGAAGAAATCAAATTCCATTGCAAGTGTTTCCATGTAAAGCAATACCACACGTCCACAACATTTAATTTCCCTTGAGCTCGACTATGGGAAATTCTCGGAGCGGACTCCATTTTGCCCAATGCACATCGCATCTCACCTTTTCAACCGATCAAATGCTGCCTTTCTCGATTCGGGCTTTCCCCGGATTCTTCAACGCGCTGGAAGAGGTGCTTTTCATCGTGAATGCATGGCACGTGATAAGCTGCCGGATCGAAGTCGGATGAATTTATGTCACGTGTCAGGTCAGGAATGCGATCGTGATTTCCCCCCCGAGTTCATGTCGCTTCTATCCGGTGGATTTCATACTCGGAAAAAAAGCTGGAAATATGTATAATGAGATGCCATTCGTGATGAAAACCACCTCATCCAGCGTGTTAAAGCCTGGAAGAACCTGAATCAAGTCAAAATAAACAGCGACTCATCAGTCATGCTGGAGCAAGATGGAGGTCACTTCGAATACATGCTACAATTATTTTAATACTTATTAAATATCAATATAAATTAAGTTTGCTCCTTTTTCCTGGCTGAAACGCCAAGTGACATCGCGAAACACGTAGACACACCTGCAGCATTTCATGCTTCACATCAGACACATCATTGCTTGTTTCTTGGTTCCAGACCCACCCCCAACCCATACAAGAGGCTACGTCGTCCCTAGTGAAGCCACACGTAAAAAAAAAAAAAAGGATTCAAGGAGCAATATGCCGCACGAGTGCCTCTCGCCATCACGAGAACCCTACAGAAAACAGATTAACATCGTGCAGAGGAAGAGTTCCAATGAAGTTCCGAAGAGATCGCCGGGGGAAAAGGAGGCATCTTCGCTGCTCCGCGTTCCCGCGACGCTTCAATTCTCCAAACGGGTAAATGAGGTATGAATTGGAACGAGTCGGTCCCTCGGTGACAAGGCAAACTGCATCGAATTCCCTCTCTTCTGCTTCCTCATTGGCTATTCTCCATTTGTCACCGTCATTTCTCCATGCAGTTCCTGTGAACAATCCAACATAAGATGTACGGGGGATGAAGGTTGGGAAGCTCCTAAGTACGAAAATTAACTAATGAAGGTCATCAGGGGCTTACAAACTTCTCTCCGCTGGATTCCAGTTCCAATTTAATACTTTGAACCACGGGGAGATAAACGCAACAAACTGAATCGGGTGGATCGTTTCGGAGGAATGTGTTTCACTCGAAGGTTTCAATTCAGTTGGTTCGTCGAGACATCGCCTGCATTTCCATGGGATCCCGGGGGGGGGGGGACTTGAACGTGATGCCTCTGCGAGAATCTCACGTTTCATTATTGGCATGCTACGAATTTCGTTTCTTCACAATCATCTTAAGCGTCAAGTAATTTTTGTGGCACGTGGCAGGAGCAGCATGATCAACGGGGGTAGAGAAGAGCATCGATACGGCCAGACACCTCCGGTGAAGGGGCAGGAAGAACGTAGAGGGAGAGGGAGAGGGAGAGGGAGAG